GACCCCACTGTGCGTGTTGTGAAAATCTTCCTGCTCGTGCTTCTGGGGGTCGGTACTGTACCATGCACCCGAAAACTCGTAACATTTTTGTGCTGCCCTGTTTCCCTGTCCACAGCAGATGCGGTGACGCGTTGTTCGGAAGTGAAGACGACGACATCAAGTTGTGCAGCATGACGGCGTGGTCCATTGCTGCAGGCCACTGGTGGTTGGGTAGCCGCATGCCACGTAACAGTTTGCGCATGCTGTTCTACAGAGTCCTGTTCATTCTTTCTGCCACACCTTGCTGCTTATGGGCGTAGGGAAGAGAGAGGAGCTGCTTGATTCTCCTTTCCGCCAGGTACTGCTTGAATCGCTGAGAAGTGTATTCTCCCCCTCCGTCTAACTGGAAGCTTTTCAGTTGTGCGCCCGACTCTCTCTCTGCTACTGGTAACCAGGCAGCGAAGGCTGCGAGTGCCATGTCGCGACTGGGTAGGTTTAGGTGCCAGACGTAACGGGTGGCGGCGTCGATGAAGGTGATCGTGTAGTTGTATGTAACTTGTCCTGGTTCCCGATTGAAAAGAATATCGCTGTACACCTTCTCGAGTGGTGCGTACGCGGGTGCGCTCGGGTTGTGATGAGGAATGAACGGCCGATGTGGTAAGTCAGCTTCGGGGCAGGTAAGACAAGTTCCTCGTGCTCGTTGAAGTTCTTTGCCGTCGAGTAGTAGTAATGAGTCCTTGTCAAGGACTCCTGCTCTTATTGTGTTGTTTAACACAGTGTTGCTTGGGTGTCCCATGCGTGCGTGCCACATGTCTTCGGACGCGCGGTATTCGGGTGAGCGTTGATACGCGTCGGAGCTGGAGTAGAAGCTGGCGATGAAGTTTGCGCTTCTGTGGACTTCCCGTTGAGTTGGATTCAGCTGCTGTGCGGGTGTTGGTGGTGCTTCGTCAACGAGGACTGGTGTCGTTGTTCCTGCTGCTGCCGACGATGTTTCTGCTGCTGCCGATGTTGTCTCTACTGCTGCTGATGTTGTCTCTGCTGCTGCTGATGTTGTTTTTGCTGCTGCCGATGTTGTCTCTGCTGCTGCCCAATGTTGTATTGTTACTAACGCACATGTTCGTTCTGCTTCAGGAATGGTATGTGAATACCAGAAGCCTTCCGGACTGAAGTCGGGGTCGAGATCCGGCGGGTGCGTCCAGGATGTGAAGGTGACGATCCCGTCACTGTCTGCGGTGCCCAGGTCTGGGACGAAGTCGAGGACGAAGACATTGTTCTTCAGAATCGTCTTTCCGATGTAGAGGCCGCCCTTCCCGTGGTACAGTTTAAACTCCTGGGTGGTACTGTCGGCTTCCAGATGTATGCTTTTCGCCATCAACTGACTGACGCTCAGTAAGTTGTAGCCAAGTCCTTCTGCTATCACGACTTTTGACATCTGCAGTACGACATTCGTCTTTCGTGACTGAAGTTGCACTACCCCTTGTCGTTGTGTGCGCAGGTTCTGGTTATTGGCGACAGTGATGACGACTTCTCGTTGAAGTTGGTGCTCGCCTTGAACGAAACGTCCTGAGGAACACATGTGTTGTGCTCAGCAACTGTCCAAGAACCATGTATCCTTCCCGGACGGCTCGCTTTGGGCGATGGCGGCGTACGTCGGGTTTGGTTGAAGTGACTCGCGGCGAGGCGTACTGTTGTCGAATTGTTCTTCTGGTGAGTAATATGGTGGTGATCCAGTTGTGCAGGAGTCACTCTGCCTTGCCATGCAGCTGACGATGTTTCTTGTTTCTTTTGCAAGTTGTCCCGTTGATGTTGTTGAGACGTGGACTGAAGTTGTCGGGTTTGCTTGCGTTGAAGTGACTTGACTGCTTGAAGGGCGAAGTTGGCGTTGTCGATTTGGGCAGTGCGTACGAGGATGCCCTGAAGTCTTGCAGAGGTGGCAGAACGGAGGTATGAATTTTGGTCGATTGTTGTTGTTGTAGCGCCGTTGAGTGTGAAACACGAATTCGGGCATTGACACCTTTCTCCTTTGTCGTTCTTCTTGCAGGTCCATGTCTTGCTGTTCGGCGTGGATTTCGGCGCAAAGTGCCGCTTCAGAGATTTTCCCGTGGGCTCGTAGTATGGCGCGAGTGGAGCGCCAGTGAGGACCAAGACCGCCGATGACAACCGTGACGAAGGCGTCCTCTGAAATCAATCCTCCACATCGAAGAAGCTTGTCGCGCAGCTCGCGGCAGCGGCTGATATACGCCATTCCCTTCTCGCCCGATTTCATTTCGATGGTAGTTAGCTGCGCCATTAACCGACTTTGGTTTACGCTGTCTGTTACTTGATACAGGGTCTTCAAGTGATTGTACGCGAGCTCCGCGGAGTTGCCGTAGCCTCGGTAAGCCCGAATGTTTTGTTGTTGAGATGGAGTGATGTTCCTCAACAGTATCGTGTACGCCATCATTGATTGATAGGTGTACTGCTGCTTCTCATACTGTGTGCCGTTTGTTGGGTATGGCAGGGACCCGTCGAAGAAGCCGAGGATTTGCGCTCCTTCCATCATCAGTTCAAATTCGAATGACCAGGAGAAGAAGTCCTTCCCGTCGAAGGGTTTTGTCGTTTGCAGTTTTAGAAAGTGCGCGAACTGCGACTGAACTTGTAGTGCGTCCAACGTTCTCTCTTGTCCCGGTGCAGGTTGTGGTTGTGGCATGAAGCTGACGCAGCCGCGCTGAGGCTCGTACGGAGCGAAGGTAGGTTGCTGTTGTTGATTCCCGCGTGCGTAGGATGAGCCATCGAGACTCATGGGCGTCACGTTGTTGTTGTTGCTGCTGTTGTTTGATTGCACAGGTCCTCCTTGCTGATGCTGCTCGTAGAAGGACATGAAGGAGAAGAATTTCTCCATCATGCTTGGATCGAAGCCCACGCCTTGGTTTGCGGGTGTTTCAGTAGACCCAGCTGCCGGTCTCTTTGCTGTCCCTTCCTCTGTCTTTAGGCCAGAGGCAGGAGGTGGAGTAGGAATAGTACCAGGAGAGCCGTTGGAGGAGCTCCTCTCCTTTCTAGTAGACATATCTCTTGGTGTATTAAGTATTGAGAAGGAAATGATTTAACTCTAACCTGCTCTGATACCATGTTGGGCTGAGTGCCCTTTAGGATCTTTGGTAAAGTTAAAGTCTGAGTAAAGTGATGTAGTAGCGGAAGCGTTTTAAGTAAGGTACTTGAACCACCTTGCGCTAGTATGTGAGGGCAAAGTAAGTTGATTAAAACAAAGAGATACAAGGATATATATATATGAATACAGATAATATGAGGAGACATTATAACTACTTTTACTGTTGCAGTTCGATACAGTGCGACTCGGGCAACTGCTCAATGTCGAGTCAGTTGTGTGTCCTTGCTGTCGCGCTGCATTTGTCAGGTCAAAGGTCGCTGACCTTTGACTTTCGCGTAACCTCCAGCGGTTACATCAACCTCCGAGGGTTGACTCGCTGGTGCCTCCATATGCGCTGCTTCGCTTGTGTCTTGGTGTTTCGACACGACAGAGGCGCTTAAGATTGTTTGTTCCCAACATGTTCAACCTCTCAGCAATCCATCCCTGGAAATTTAGCAAATTGCTGCATCTTACAGCATAGAAAGGTGTCTCTGCTCACAACATTTTGGTGAACATCCTCGTAACTGCTTACCGGTACGATAGATGGTATCAAGCTTGTCGGGGGTCACAGCAGCAGCTTAGACTAATCATACATATGCCCACTCGGATACCGTATCTGTAATGCTGCCTGCAGCTCACATTGAAGTATCTCAAGACACCTTAGTGCATTCAAAACGAATGGAAGTTATGCGGTTTAGCAGATGCTACAGAGCCGATACAAAGCCACAAGTCACAGCGACACGCATGCTCAACCTCTTGACCAGCATCATCCTCTTATCAAAGATACCACCACTACCGCCATCCCTCCACAAGAAACAGTCCCAATCTACCAGTAAAAAGAAGAGGCCCTGTAAAAAGCCATGGTCACCAACTCCCTCCACACCCCTTTCGTCATCAACCTACGGTACCTACCCACCCATTGTCGCTTTATTGCCCCTTCCGGCTCTTTCCACCTTCTACAAGTCATGAGGATGACTGTAGTGGAGCTTAGTTGGCCACTGGACGATGTCTACTGACCGAAACAGCTCAACAAGTAACCCGTGCCAGACAAAACCCTCCAGACCCCCGTCGATCATCATAACACCTTCCTTCCCACCCACTGTAGCTCCAGCCACAAGTCACACATATGGCTCCCCTGTCATCCAGACGGCATCTAATCACCGAATCAGCTCAACATGTTGCCCGTGCTAGATGGAACCCTCCACACCACCTTCCTCATCATAACACCTTCCCACCCACTGTAGCTGCAGCCACAACTCAGAAATATGGCTCCCCTGTCATCCAGACGACATCTAGTCACCGAATCAGCTCAACAGGTTGCCCGACGCCTGTGCTAGACGGAACCCTCCACACCACCTTCCATAACACCTTCCCACCCACTGTAGCTGCAGCCACAAGTCAGAAATATGGCTCCCCTGTCATCCAGACGACATCTAGTCACCGAATCAGCTCAACAGGTTGCCCGACGCCCGTGCTAGACGGAACCTTCCACACCACCTTCCTCATCATAACACCTTCCCACCCACTGTAGCTGCAGCCACAAGTCAGAAATATGGCTCCCCTGTCATCCAGACGACATCTGGTCACCGAATCAGCTCAACATGTTGCCCGTGCTAGACGGAACCTTCCACACCACCTTCCTCGTCAATAACCTTCTTTCCAAAGTAGCACTGTTTTACAAGTCACGGATATGCCTTGGTTGGCGTCTGAACGACGTCTAGTGACCGGACGAGCTACAACAGGTCCCCTTCCCTGTGCCAAGCCCACCACGCCTCCCTTCCAACTGCGCATAATGAATACACCCTGGAAGGTGTCTGAACTGTGTCTAACGATCGGAAGAGCTCCAGCAGATTTCCTGTGCCGAACAATCCAAACCCCCACTTTCCTCTTAAAATCACGGGTACACCTTGGAAGGTGTCTGAACCGTGTCTAACGATCGGAAGAGCTCCAGCAGGTTTCCTGTGCCGAACCCACCACACCCCCCACGAGGAAACTGCTGCATGGGAACGGCTTGAAGACCCTTCTTCACTCCCACCCTCTGAAGAATCTCAATGAAGACCGTGGGCCTGTGGGACGGGAGGGGGGTGGGGAAGGGAGGGATAAGAGACACGTGTCAGAAACTGGAATAATAAGTGGTAAAAGTGCTGTAGGGAAGTTGAGGGAACTGATTCCCAACCTCTGACGAAATCTCAATGAACAGCGTGCGCCTGTGGGACGGGAAAGAGGAGGGGATGGAGGGAGGAGGGAGGAGGGAGGAGGGAGGGAGGAAACATGTCAGGAAATGGGATGATGGGTGGGGAACTGCTGCACAGGAACGGCTTGAAGGCCCTTCTTCACTCCCCCCTCTGAAGAATCTCAATGAAGACCGTGGGCCTGAGGGCAGGTAAAGGTGAAGGAGAGAAAGGACGGAAGAGACATGTCGAGGAATGGGATGATCGAAGGGTGGGTACGGCCTTGGGGCCTTCTTCCTCACTCCCACCACCCCTTGTAGAATCGCAATGAACACGGTGGGCCTGTGGGAGGGAGGGGAAGAGGGCAGGGAGGGAGGAAACATGGCAATGACTAGGAACGGCCTTGACACCCTTCTCTTCACTCCCACCACCCCTTGACGAATCTGAACGAACACGGTGGGCCTGCCTGCGGCGAGGGAAAGGAGGAATGGTGGGTGGGGAGAGGGGGAAAGGACTGGGATGATTGGATCTCTCACCTGTCCCCCATAGGAGCAGTGAAGATCTGCAGCAGCACTCCCCCAGCATCCACGAGAATCCCCAACTCCTCATACTCCCCCATCTAACCTTGTAACAGATATAAAAGTGATAGAAAAACGCACACATTTCCCCTCTGACCTGTCCCCAATGGAAGCAGCGAGAATTTGAAGCAGCACTCCCCCAGCATCCGCATCCACGAGGATTCCCAACTCCTCCTACCCCCCCATCTCCTAACCTTCTAACAGATGGAAAAGTGTGAAAAAAAGGCACACATTTCCCCTCTGACCTGTCCCGAATCGGAGCAGTGAGGATTTGAAGCAGCACTCCCCCCAGCATCCACATCCACCAGAACCCCCAACCCAACTCCTCATACTCCTCCATCTCCTCCTCGCCTTTCAGCAGATAGAAAGGCTAGCCACGCACAAGACCACTGACAAACTCTCCCAAGCGCTTCCAACCCAACCACTCTCACCTGTCCCCGATAGGAGCAGTGAAGATCTGAAGCAGCACTCCCCCAGCATCCACATCCACGAGAATCCCCAACTCCTCATACTCCCCCATCTCCTCCTCACCTTTCAACACATGGAAAGGTCTATCATAAACACACACACACTTCCACTCTCACCTGTCCCCAATGGGAGCAGTGAATATCTGAAGCAGCACCCCCCCAGCATCCACATCCACCAGAATCCCCAACTCCTCATACTCCTCCATCTCCTCCTCAGTGATTAAACTCCCCACCCTCGACGACAGCTCCCTATAGTACTTAACCGACGGCCTGGGCAGGAACGCAAACCCCCCCATTTCGCTCCTAGCCTTCATCTCTTTAACAGCCTTAACAATGTCTGTGCACATTAGTGCGATGTGCTGCACTCCTGCCCCGTTATAGTGCTCCAGGAAGGTTTCGACCTGCATCTTGTAAGGGAGGCCAGGCGAGGGTTCCATTATAGGGAGGATGACTGTCTCCCAGTCATTAGCGAGTACAGTACTGTTCACACCGAGGCCAGTGGGGTCCACGTCAGCACCACCGGATTTCTTCTTAGGAGTAACAGCAACGTTACCAGAACCAGCACTAGCAGCACCAGCACCACCAGAAATACCAGCAGCACCAGCAGCAGCACCGAAACCAGCTGTTCCTTCTCCCACTCCTCTCCCTGCCCCTGCTCCCTTTCCTGCTCCCCCTCCTGCGTTTCCTGAAGCACACGAATCTGTAAACTCGTGAAACCCTGAGAATCCCTTGACATACCGAACCACATCCGCCAGGTTCGGCACGTTCCCAACCACATGGTCGACCCTGAAAATCCCGTAGCTCATCACTTGGTTCGACGCCGCCTCAAAGGCGGGGAGAAACGGTCCTGAGAACGATTTCGGGTTCACAAACCGTAGGACCGTGTGGCCGTATAGAGTCACCTCCGCTATAGTCACACTGCCTCCCTGACCGTTTGGTTTGATGTCTGTGACAGTAACGGGAGGGCAAATGGAAATAGCTCCGTTATTTACACTCGTTTGGTACGCAGCTTCAACATCCTCCACTCTCACTCCGATTGCCCTGACTCCCAATCCATGCAGTGCGGAAAATTCACGGGCAGCCCGTGGTGAAAATCCTGGGAAAGGAACTCGGGAATTTCTGGAGCGTCCAGTCTCCCCAACTACTTCCCCTAGAGGTTCTGTACGCGTTATAGCTGCTGCTTCGGAATACGGCGCCGTGAACACCAGCGCCAGGTCCTCCGCTTTCAGCACGAAACTGCAGAACGTGTGGTTACCCGTCGTCTGGTCCGACTTCGCGACGAGCGGCAGCCCCAGTCCCCACGAAAACCGTCCGTACGTGTTAGTAGCATCTCCGCACCAGAACTCGATATGGTGAAACCGGTCCACCTTAAACCTATCCGTCCGCGGGTTATTCCGTAAAAAGCTCCCGAATCCGACAAGTCCTGTGGGAGTCATAGCGGCGGATTCGGCGCTGCGAGGCTCGTCACCGTCCTCGTCATCGTCTTCGTCATATTCCTCGTCGGAAGACGCAGGACCATATGTGTCCAGGCTCACGCATCCGGCCTGCTCCAGGCTCTGGAAAAAGGCGTCTTGGATTCGCTGCGCTATGTTTCCCAGCATGGCGGCCCGTGCCGTCGTAGGCGATTTAAGAGACGGACTGTGTAAACTTCGACGGTCTACGTAAACGTTGACTATCTGCGTAGCGGTGAACGGTGTGCGAAGCTGTTGACGGTCAGCGTGGCCTTCACCAGTCTGCGAAGACTTTATCGGAATCTGTGGCCTGAAACGAGATTGTACCGCTTGCCAAAAGCAGTAAAGCAAACAAGATTTGCGGAAGGAGGTTGCGCTACGACGATAGGCACTCAGGTTATGCTGACACACGAGGTGGCAGGACTAGTTCGATGTGCGTGTCCAGTGCCATATAAATCCTGCCGGCCGCTTCCTCCTTATGGACTGTAAAGAATGTGATATAAGGTACGCGGCATAAATACAACCGTCCTAGTTTGCTTGACAGAACGAGATACCTAGTGCAAAAATGACTTCCACCATTTCCTCCATGGATTGTGAAGAATCCGTACTACTTCACTGACCTAGCACATGCATATTCTAAGAGCATCTAAATACACTATCTGCCTCAAGCAGAATACTGTACAGCCAGAGTCAGACTGACTAACAAGTTAACAATCAAGCAGCAACAGTCCTGCTAGAGAACTTTCCAGCAAGAAGGTGCTTCAATAATCCATCAACCTGAGCAGCCTCTTCCCGACTGCCTTTGCGCCAGTCCTCATTTGAGGCGGCAGCATGCAGGGCAGCGTTGGCATCATCCAACTGCTGCATCAGAATCCCCACCTTCCCAGTCAGCTCATGAACACTTCCCAATAGACCCGACAGCGTGGACCTCTCCTCTTCCAACAAATCAGGCTTCTTGGATTTCTTGGAACCACTGCTGCTCTTCCTTCTCCCGGTAGGGGAGTTATACTGGCTCATGACGCTCTTGGAGCAAGAGCGATACTTGGAAGATGAAAGCTCAGTCATTAGCAGGCCAGCAGCAGTCCTGAGGTGAGACTTGGCCTTCATCAAGCGTGCATTCTGCTGTGGCACTTCAAGGCTATAGCTCAGCTTCTCGAGCGAAGCCACTACGTCAATGCTTGTGTATGCAAACCCTGAGAGACTGATCGATTCTTGGACCTGCAAAATATGTAAAAAGTAGCTTAAGGTCAGCTCATCAGACATTTATGTGAGCAGAAATGGAGAAAATCAGTACACACCTCAGCTTGTGCAAGACACAGTAGAGCTTCAGCATGTTCAAATGGCACACCAGCCACGGCAAGCCCTTCAACTGCAGCATTCAAACTACTGAGCCGATCTTGACCCGTCTGGGTGTCTGCAATCAGCCTGAACACAATAAAAAAGAGAACCATTCAGATTCGAACAAGAAGGCCTACTACACCGATACACAACACCAAACTAAGATCTGCATACCTGAGGCAGCGAGCCACTTCACCCTTCATTCCATGCTTCCGAGCAGACATGTATGCACTGAAAATCAGCCGCCTACCCTCCTGCACCTTCCCATGTGCGAGAGCTGTGGCACCAGCCAGCCGCTCCATGGAGACCTTGGCAAGGAGCGAACTTGACTTGTGCGTGCTAGACCTCTGCTTGACATCTGACTGATGCTCTTGAATGAAGACCGAAGTTCCAGCCCGCTCCAGAAGATTGATTGAAGCAGGTGGACTGGAAGAAAGCTCAGGGGAGCCCTCTCTGGAGCTGGAGAGATAGGAAGGACTAGTAAGTTCGAAGTATGTAACATTCGACATACATATTTGCACACAAATTTATGCAGACAAATGCCATGTACTACCTGCCACGAATATTACTTACGTGAAGACCGGATTTTCCAAAGTGCTCTCAGGAGAAAACAGCTGGTTGTCCTCCTCCAAACCTGAACTGCCAACCTGAAAGATACAAGGCACGGAAAATGAAAAACGAGGGTCAGATCGAAGTCCACGGCGAAGAGAGAATTGAGTGCTGAGATGAACGAAAGAAGAACCACACTCTTACGTACCTTAACAAACAGCGAAACACCGTCAGGTTTACTGGACGAAGGCGGGCACTCCTCTGCATCCAAGACAGTGATGAATGTTGTCTCGAGGCTTTCTATCGAAGCAAGAGCGAAATCTTTCTCTGGCGGGCTGCAGCTGGCCAGAGGAGGGCTGGAAGACGGCGAGTGAGCTCCGAGACCTGATCGACGACCATGAGACTTGGGAACAACGATAGACCACCCATCGTCGTCTAACGACTCGTCTTTCTTTTCCACTACTGCAGTCTCGGCATCCTCCTCCTTAACGACGTCCTGAACATTTGCGCGTTCTCCTGTCGATTCACAAAGCTTGTCCTGGCTGCTTGATGCGGGACAGCTAGCAGGTGGTTTTTCCGCCTCCCGAGCCGGCACCTTCTCCGAAACATTCTCCTTGGAAGATTTCTTGGAGGACTTGCTGCTCTTGGAACCCTTTCCATGCTTCCCCTTCCCGGCGTGTTCATTCCGCTGCCTCCTGGAATAAATCTTGCGTTGGTTGCGCCTCCCAACAGTGTGGGAGATGAGGCTCGGAATCGGATCGTACACGTCAGCAGCCCACTTGACGCGAAGCCCCGAGGGACGCGGCGACGATCCCTTGAGGGCTGGCTTGAGCTGAGCAACCTGAACAGCAAAACAAGCGTAAAATACAGAGAAAGGTTAAGTTGGGGAAAACACAGCAAGGCGGGGAGAGAGACAAGCTAGGCACGTTGTGACCCCAACGACGACCGATAAATACCTTCTCTGCGCAGACTTTGTCGCAACCAGCGGCGATGTCATTGGCAGCACCATGTGGTGCATCAGCAGAGATTTGCGTGCTAGCGGAAGCAGTGGTCGCACCATTATCATCCTCAGAGGTGTCAGTAGTCGCACTGACAAGGCAGTTCTCTACCTCTACGTTATCCACCCCACTTGGCAACTCCGTTGTCCGACTGACATGTTCGCTGAAGAGAAAGAGAAGAGAGAGAAAATTAAAACAAGACGTTAGCATGAGTTGGCAAGTGCAACCAATATTCGAATAATAGAACAATTGACAACTTCTCACTCCTCAAGTCAACCTACCTGTTACTGGTTGTCTCCTCAGCTCCTTCTTTGACCGATCCGCTAGGGTTTCCAATCCACCCATCTTCAAGCTGCCTAGAGATATCAACCGAACCGCTGCTAATGGCACCGGAAGTACTGGATGATTCCTGAACGGCTTCTACGGTGGTCCCAAATATGTCCAGTGCTAATGCGAAGCTCACACCACCACCAGCAGCATATTTGGATCCCTCCTGTTGCACACTCTTCCCAGGCGCAGGAGCAGGCAGCGGAGGGCTCGAGCAGCGAGCATATTCTTTAGTACCCCTCGGAATGGGGTTGTTGTTCGGAGAATCCAAAATCATTTGCCAGCAAAAATCACGGTTGCGGAAGGGAGAAGATAGCATGAAAGTAGGGGAGGTAATGGCGTTGAGGACCCGTGCTAGTCAATTACTTTCCTCCATTTTGTAATTAGTTTCAGGTGGAAACAAGCACTGAAGGTTGAAAAACATAAGTTACAATGCTAGGGTTTGCATTTGTAGCTCCCCTTCCTTCAGGCAGTTTCTCCATCCCTGAGATTGCGGTTGGATTGGGTTCGAGTCGAGTCCAGACGGATGAAATCAAGACTGCACTCATGTTTTGCGTTCTAAAACGGTTGGTATTATATTTACAGCGTTGGGAAGCGGTTGTAGGGTTTTGAGGAATTCTTACTCGCCAAGATAGGAAGAGAACTCAGCGGAGAACTAGCGACCTGCGGACCAGCAGAAAAGCGTGGGATCAAGGGAGAATTCTGTACGAAGGGGGGGCGCCGGGGAGTTGCGCACCGAGTCTGATCGGCTTTGCGGTCATTCTAGAATGGTGGGCGGAGGAAGGTGTCGTCTTGCGCGCTTCTTCAGCGCTGCGGTCGCCGTGCGCAGTCGCTCCGAGTCTCCGACCATGAGACGAGTTCAGCGGACCACATGATGTGAAAGTGCCAGCCCATGTGATGGCATTGTTGGCGGGTGCATTGTATTGCGTGGAACGTAGACAACGCAAAGAGGTGACGACATCGAGGCGGTCATCGAACGGTTAAACTCGATAGACGGATAATGGACGGCTAGATCCTTGTTTCTTGCGGGTTGTCGTGATCCTGAAGCAGCTTCGGAAAATTGGGAGATGTCACGGACAAATGGCAGACCCCTGCGCGCCACGTCACTTCTGTCTTGCTTTTGCCATCAGGGCCTGAACAGAGCAGCATGATTGGTCAATTCTAAAGCTGTCACAAGCCACGTGGCCACCTAGTCACCTGTTCTCGTTATTGCCCTCGCGAAGACCTTATTGAGCACCTTCACAAAATTAAGCAAAAACACATGTATAATAAGCAGACACTCTTATCCATAAGGAAATATAACTACTGGAATTCATCATATCCATTGTAAATAACCAAGGTATTCAGCAAACTGGCTGCAAGTGGCCACACAAAAAGACTCGCTTCGCTTTATGCACAACCTGCAACCACGCAGCTCCCACCTCACCTCATCCTCATCCTCCCTCACCACATTTTCATCGTCACCACCAATGCATTCCCTGCTACCCCGTCTTCTCCCCGAACCCCCTCCTCTAATGATCGCCCTAAATTCCAAGTCAACTTCAGCCAAAAGCCCTGTTCCAAACACCAGTGCAGGCAAGATGGAACAAAACACCAACAGACCTAGATCATCTGCTTGGTACTGAGGCTGGCAGCTGACCAGCTGCACCATGCACCCATCTGACGGCCTCTGCACATGCAGCTGCGCAGAGAGCTCCTGCGCATAAGCAGACGGCCGGTCCGGGCCTTGCATTGCCATGTGAGACATCTTGTGATAGTCGGATAAGAAAGTGGGGGAAGCAGGGGGAATGGAGGGGTTAGCAGTGGTTGCCAAGAGACTGGAGGAAGAGGACGAGGAGGAGGAAGAGGACGAGGAGGCGGAAGAGGTGGCAACTGAATCTGGAAGGGTGAGTGGAGTGAAAGAGGTGGAAGAGGAGGAAGAGGAGGAAGAGGGGGAAAAGGAGGAAGTGGTAGAATCAGGGTGTGGCCGCCACAAGGGGGTGTCCTCATGCGCAGCGTTCAGGTTCTTGACAACAAAATCGAAATCTCCCAAGTCAGCAGTCTCTGACAGGATCAGATCTTTCTGCTGGAGAGCCATGGACAGCCGTGATTGGCCGTGGTGGGAGACGTCAAGGAAGAAGGTGAGGGAGGGGAAGGAGAGGGGGGAGATTGCGGGGCGAGGAGGGCCACAGCTGAGCCGGCGATAAGCGAACGTGCGGAACGAATGTGCTTCAGACGAGTGTTCATCCAATGACAGCTGTTTTAACGCGTTTCCTTGTAATGAGGAATTTGATTGAATGTTGATGGAGGGGTGAAAATGCTCCTCGGAATGGTGTTCAAGAGCAGTGGAATCTTTTGAAGGATAGACAGTGCAGGTTTCTGCACTGGTGACGGTTTGGGAGGTAGATACAGAGATAGAGGAGTGGGAAGAGATGGTTCTGCCGCTGCAAGGAATAATCCTTAGCTGCTGCTGCTGCTGCTGCTTCTGCTGCTGCTCTTGTTGCGGCTTCTGCAGCAGCTGCTGCTGCTGTTGTGGTAACTGCGTCTGCTGATGCTGATACGCCTTCGGTCGGGGTTTACTCGGCGGATCAATCAGCGCAAGTGACTGTCCGCGGCGTGACTGCAACGAGGGCCACATCTCCCGCGCGAGCGCCGCCCAGAGGCTCTCGTCGCGCGACACGGCGCGCCACTGCGCGCTCACACACGCCGCCCGCGCGAGCTCGCGCGCGGAAAGGCAGCGGAGAACGCGGTACAGCGAGCTGTCGTCCAGGGGGAAGGCGGAGGGGGAGGCGGAGGGGGAAGCGGAGGGAGGAGAAGAGGGGGGAGCGGAGGGGGAAACGGAGGGGAACAGAGAGGTCCGGCTAATGCAAGGATCCTCGATCTGCGCGCCAGCCATATGACCCTCCATACGCATTCGCCGGATCGAAGAGAGCTTCCGCCGAGTCGGGAGTGAATCGGCGCAAAGGAGAGAAGAGGCGGATGGAGAGGAGTGTAACGATCGCCTCCCCTGCCGCGTTACTATTGGGAATACTGATAAAAACGGGGAACGGATAACTGGGCGTTGGAACGGTATAGCAGTATAATGGAGGACCAGACTGGGTGTGCAGTCGTGGTGAGGGATAACGAACACTCATGGTGCAATTAGCCGCGACTTCTAAGACGAGTCTGTAGTAACCTCGGACAAACAGCCGCTACGTCATCACTCGGGATTCGCAAGCAGCCCTACGTCGTACGTCGGGATTCGCTCTGACGGGAAAATCTAGCTGGAGAGAGGGTGGGATGGCCGGAAGTAGCGGAGTGACAGATGGAGGCGTGGAAGAAATCGCGGCATGACTCGACTGGAGTGCTTCGCAATCAGAAATTGAATTAATAAGCACTCCGTATTGGAACTCATCTAAAAACAAAAACATAAGAAAACCTTGTCACTATATTGATAGTTGCATAGCCAGTCCACTCTCCGTGTTGGAACCCACATCTAAGAGAAAATGACATGAGGAAAACATACTGACTAGAATGACAATCGCTTTGCAAACATTGTTGAGCTAAAAGGGGGCGGATCACAGCCTGAATATGCACTAACGTTTTGTACCACTCTTGTTTCTTACAGCCTCTTTTACAAATTCCCCATAGCCGCAGCCTCGGCAAGAGCTACCCTCTTGAGCAGCGCAGCTCAGCTTCATCCTCCCTCCCTCCCCTGCTGCTGCAGATTCACCACCAGAGACCCTGCAATGACCACAACCCTGCCTTTCCATCTCATCCTCATTACAAGCCAACTCGTTACAAGTTACCTCGTCACAAATTCCCAGTAGCCGCAGCTTCTGCAAGGGCCAATCTCTTGAGCAACGGTTCAGCCTCATCGTCCCTCCCCTGCTGCTGCAGATTCACCACCAGAGACCCAGCAATCACCAGCGCTGCATCCCCCATGGGCCCCACTGCTCCTTCCATCCTCGCTAAAGCCTTCCTCAGTAACAGCTCCGCTGCCTCTGCCCTCCCTGTTGCCATGAGTATGAGTGCCAGGTTGCGCTGGGCTTGCGCTGGGGGGAAGGGGAGGGGGGAGTTGGGGAGAAAAACAAGCACGGGGAGATGGGGGAGAGACAGGAGGAGAGACAGTGCAGTGCATGGGGGATGGGAGGATGGGTTGGGGAGAACGGGGCCAGCTCTGCTGCCTCTGCCTGCCCTGCAGCCATGAGGATGAGCACCAGGCTGCGCTGGGGGGATACAGGGGCGAGAGCAGGTGGGTGCAAAAAAGGGAAGAGGTGCGTGGGTAGGTGGATGCGGGACGGCCAAGCTCCGCTGCCTCTGCCCGGCCTGTGGCGATGAGTATGAGCGCCAAATTGCGCTGGGCTGGGCTTGCGCTGGGGGATACAGGAGGGGAGACGGGGGAGCGGGCGGATGCAAAAACCGGGAGAGGGGGGGTTGGGTGTGTGGAAAGAGGGCCTAGCTCTGCTGCCTGTGCCCGGCCTGTGGCCATGAGTATGAGCGCCGGGTTGCGCTGGGCTTGTGCTGGGGGGGAGGGGAGGGTAAGACAGGGGGGGGGAAAGGATGGAAGTGGGGGAACGGTAGGGATAGGAACCAAAGCAGGTGCTTACCTAGCATCACCACTGTATCCCCGCGCACTCCCGCCTTCTGCACTGTATCTTCAGGTGCTCCCTTGCCAGCCCCTCGGACTCCTCAAACCGCTCCATCTGGGCCAGGCACAGCTCTAGGCGCTCTACCCTCTATCTCTCTACCACAGAGCCAGTCACTCCCCTTTTTGAGGTTCCAGGCCTCAGCGATCATCACGTGCTCCCTCGCCAGCCCCTCAGCCTCCTCAAACCGCTCCATCTGCGCCACACATAGCTCTAGGCGCTCTACCCTCTATCCCAGTCAACGCTAGTCAACCAAAGTTAAGCAAGAGTCTTGCCTAGCATCTCCACCGTGTCTCCTCTCAATCTTGATTTCTCCACAACCCCCTCAGCAATCATCAGGTGCTCCCTCGCCAGCGCCTCAGCCTCCTCGAATCGCTCCATCAGAGCCAGGCAGGCACAGCTGTAGACGCAGAACCCGACATTCTACCCTCTATCCCAGTCAACTCAACTCAAGTCAACCAAAGTCAAATTAAGTCAAACGAAAAAAGGGTGCTTACCTAGCATCTCCACTGTATCCCCGCGCAGTCCAGCCTTCTCCACGGCCCCCTCAGCAATCATCAGGTGCTCCCGCGCCAGCACCTCAGCCTCCTCGAATCGCTCCATCTGAGCCAGGCACAGCTCTGGGCGCTCTAACCTCCATCTGGGCCACAAACCAGACTCTTACCTAGCATTTCAATCGTGTCTCCCTGCAATCCCGCCTTTTCCACAGATGTCTCTGCAATCATCAGATGCTCCCGCGCCAGCACCTCAGCCTCCTCGAATCGCTCCATCTGAGCCAGGCACAGCGCCAGGCGCTCGATCGGCACGGCCAACCGCGCGTCGCCAGCTGGCACCGCTGACCTGGCGATCTGCAGCGCGCGGCGCAGGAGCCGCTCCGCGCCCTCTGATTGGCCGATGGTCAGGCGGGACTGCGCGAGTTGGATGAGGGGGGGGACGAGGGCCGGAGAGAGAGGGCCAACGGCTAGCTCCTTGGCTGAGAGGAGCTTTTCCCTTATGGCACACGCGTCCTCGTCCCTGCATGGATATAAGAGAGGAAGGGAAGAAGTGGGCATGGAATTGGGCGAGTTGGATGAGGGGGGGGTCGAGCCGAGCCCTGGAGAGAGGGGTCCCATCCCACGGCTAGCTCCTTGGCTGAGAGGAGCTTCTCTCTTAAGGCACACGCGTCTTCATCCCTGGTGGAGAGATGAAGAGAGGAGAGGAGAGAAGAGAAGTGGGGAGAGAGTGGAGAAGTGAGTTGAGCGGGATTGGGCGAGGTGGATGAGGGGGGGGACGAGGGCTGCGGAGAGAGGGCCGACGGCTAGCTCCTTTGCTGAGAGGAGCTTATCTCTTATCGCACACACGTCCTCGTCCCTGTTGAAGGGATGAAGAGAAGAGAGAAGGGGACAGGAGACAGGAGAAGTAAGGCGTTAGTCAGTGGACGAGAGGGGGGACGAGGGCTGCGGAGAGAGGGCCGACGGCTAGCTCCTTTGCTGAGAGGAGCTTATCTCTTATTGCACACGCGTCCTCGTCCCTGTTGAAGGGATGAAGAGAAGAGAGAAGGGGACAGGAGACAGGAGAAGTAAGGCGTTAGTCAGTGGACGAGAGGGGGGACGAGGGCTGCGGAGAGAGGGCCGACGGCTAGCTCCTTTGCTGAGAGGAGCTTATCTCTTATCGCACACGCGTCCTCGTCCCTGTTGAAGGGATGAAGAGAAGAGAGAAGGGGACAGGAGACAGGAGAAGTAAGGCGTTAGTCAGTGGACGAGAGGGGGGACGAGGGCTGCGGAGAGAGGGCCGACGGCTAGCTCCTTTGCTGAGAGGAGCTTATCTCTTATCGCACACGCGTCCTCGTCCCTGTTGAAGGGATGAAGAGAAGAGAGAAGGGGACAGGAGACAGGAGAAGTAAGGCGTTAGTCAGTGGACGAGAGGGGGGACGAGGGCTGCGGAGAGAGGGCCGACGGCTAGCTCCTTTGCTGAGAGGAGCTTATCTCTTATCGCACACGCGTCCTCGTCCCTGTTGAAGGGATGAAGAGAAGAGAGAAGGGGACAGGAGACAGGAGAAGTAAGGCGTTAGTCAGTGGACGAGAGGGGGGACGAGGGCTGCGGAGAGAGGGCCGACGGCTAGCTCCTTTGCTGAGAGGAGCTTATCTCTTATCGCACACGCGTCCTCGTCCCTGTTGAAGGGATGAAGAGAAGAGAGAAGGGGACAGGAGACAGGAGAAGTAAGGCGTTAGTCAGTGGACGAGAGGGGGGACGAGGGCTGCGGAGAGAGGGCCGACGGCTAGCTCCTTTGCTGAGAGGAGCTTATCTCTTATCGCACACGCGTCCTCGTCCCTGTTGAAGGGATGAAGAGAAGAGAGAAGGGGACAGGAGACAGGAGAAGTAAGGCGTTAGTCAGTGGACGAGAGGGGGGACGAGGGCTGCGGAGAGAGGGCCGACGGCTAGCTCCTTGGCAAAAGAAGCTTCTCCCTTATGGTATGTGGAGGATAGGAGGGGAGGGGAAGGAGGATTGTGAATCTACACACACACACACCCCTCACGTGTACCACACTCACCTGTCCAGAATGTCATATAGCATGCTCAGTTCCATCCGCGCCTGCTGTCAACCGTATAACATACACACGTGTCCAATCCAGCATACATCACACTCACCTGTCCAGATAGCATCGACAGTTCGATCTGCGCCTGCTCGAAAGCCGGGAATGCCGGGTATATGCCTCTCATAGGGCATGCCGCGCGCACACACACACATGCACGCACGCACGCACGCACGCACGCACGCATGCACACGCACACACACCCCTTGCTTGTATTGCACTCACCTGTCCAGAATGTCATATAGCATGCTCAGTTCAATCTGTGCCTGCTCGAAAGCCGGGAACGCTGACGCTCCAAGCGCGTTCACCAGCGCACGGGGAGTCCCCGCCAGCTCATCGTCGCCCCACGCCAGCTCAGCGCCTGCTCCTGCCAGCTCAGCAGCGTCTCCAGCCTCGCCCTTCCTCCTCTGCTGCTCCACCGATTGTTCGAAGATCCGAAGGCCGCTCTCCAACACCCCCACTGCTAGATCAGGACGACCTGGGGAGATGGGGAATGGAAGATGGGGATCAGGGAGGGGTTGGGGACTGCTTTTGAGTCGACTCAAAACCAGGGAGGGGTTGTGGTACTACCAACCAGGGAGGGGTTGTGGTACTACCAACCAGGGAGGGGTTGTGGTACTACCAACCAGGGAGGGGTTGTGGTACTACCAACCAGGGAGGGGTTGTGGTACTACCAACCAGGGAGGGGTTGTGGTACTACCAACCAGGGAGGGGTTGTGGTACTACCAACCAGGGAGGGGTTGTGGTACTACCAACCAGGGAGGGGTTGTGGTACTACCAACCAGGGAGGGGTTGTGGTACTACCAACCAGGGAGGGGTTGTGGTACTACCAACCAGGGAGGGGTTGTGGTACTACCAACCAGGGAGGGGTTGTGGTACTACCAACCAGGGAGGGGTTGTGGTACTACCAACCAGGGAGGGGTTGTGGTACTACCAACCAGGGAGGGGTTGTGGTACTACCAACCAGGGAGGGGTTGTGGTACTACCAACCAGGGAGGGGTTGTGGTACTACCAACCAGGGAGGGGTTGTGGTACTACCAACCAGGGAGGGGTTGTGGTACTACCAACCAGGGAGGGTTGTGGTACTACCAACCAGGGAGGGGTTGTGGTACTACCAACCAGGGAGGGGTTGTGGTACTACCAACCAGGGAGGGGTTGTGGTACTACCAACCAGGGAGGGGTTGTGGTACTACCAACCAGGGAGGGGTTGTGGTACTACCAACCAGGGAGGGGTTGTGGTACTACCAACCAGGGAGGGGTTGTGGTACTACCAACCAGGGAGGGGTTGTGGTACTACCAACCAGGGAGGGTTGGAACCAATGGAGAAATGCAAATGTCGTAGTCCCTTCCTCCCAGTCTTCTCCCTGCACCCGCCTTTCACCTCCCAGTCTTCGAAGACTGCTCTCCAACACTCCCACTGCTAGACTCGTTATTGTCTAGACTCGTTATTGTCTAGACTCCGTACAAAGCCCACCCACCTTGGATGTGCCTGTCTGACTTGAGCGAGAGTGAACTCCACTGTAGCTGCCTCCATTGACATCAGTTCCCCTTTCTCTGTTGAGTCGTTATAAAGGTTAACTCTTACAATACTCGTTATAAGTTAGAATCACTCCAACCCCACCTACCTTGTGCCTGTCTGACTTGAGAGAGAGTGAACTCCACTATAGCTGCCCCCATCGATGTCAGCCCTTCTCCTTCTCCCTCTCTTGAACATCCTTCTTTATACCACTTGTTATAAGCGGGACTCTTCATAAGCCCACCCACCCACCCACCCACCGTTTGCCTGTCTGACTTGAGCTAGGGTGGCGTGGCCCCAATCATTGGAGGCTGCAATGACTTGCCTTGAGCTTGGGCCCACCCAATCATTGCAGCCTCCATTGATGTCAGCCCCTCTCCCTCCCTGTTCTCAAGGACCTATGCTCATTTTGAGGCGCCTCATTGCAGCCTCCATTGATGTCCCTCCATTGATGTCCCTCCATTGATGTCAGCCCCTCTCCTTCTCCCTCTTCTCAACCAACCTTGCTTGCCTCGTTAGAAGATTACTTCAATGTACTCATTATAAGCGGGACTCATAACAATCACATTTGACTCGTTATTAGCCTACCCACTCACCGGCCCCGCCCCGCCCCGCCCTTCTTTTCCAACCAATCACGCTTAACTCGTTATAAGCCAGTTTCGCTGTACGCACTATAAACCCACCCGCTGACCAACCTTGCGCCTGCCTGACTTGAGCAAGAGTGAACTCCACTATTGCTGCTTCCATCGACCGTCAGCACCACTTCCTCCCACTCCTAGGGATGAGCAAGGGGCGAACACGAACACCTTCGTTTGCCGAACCGAACACTGTTCGGTTCGGCGAACACTTTGAGCAAAAAATGGTGTTCGCCGTTCGCCTGTGAAGGCGTGTTCGGGCGAACCTCGAACACGTTCGTGTTCGTCGCGGGCAAATTTCAGCAGCGGCCCGAACACGAACGTGTTCGGGCGAACATCGAACACTGTTCGGCGAACAATTTAAGCCAAAAAATAATACCTGGTGTTCGTTTTTTTGCTCAACCCTACCCACTCCTACACACCCTCTCCTCACTCGTTATAAGCAAGACCCGTTACAAGCCCACCCACCTTGTGCCTGCCTGACTTGAGCTAGAGTGAACTCCACAATCGCCGCCTCCATTGATGTCAGCCCCTCCTTCTCTATCAGAATATCCTTGGCGCTGTTGGTGTGCAGGGGGGTGTGTGAAGAAGGGAGAAGTGGGGGTGAAATAAGGAGGGAATGCAAGGCACTGTGGGTCAGCTCTTCTTGATCAGCACTGGGGGAATGCAACACACAGTGCGTCCAAGGGACACAGCACTGCTTCCCTTCAGTGCGTCCAAGGGACACAGCACTGCTTCCCTTCAGTGCGTCCAAGGGACACAGCACTGCTTCCCTTCAGTGCGTCCAAGGGACACAGCACTGCTTCCCTTCAGTGCGTCCAAGGGACACAGCACTGCTTCCCTTCAGTGCGTCCAAGGGACACAGCACTGCTTCCCTTCAGTGCGTCCAAGGGACACAGCACTGCTTCCCTTCAGTGCGTCCAAAGGACACAGCACTGCTTCCCTTCAGTGCGTCCAAGGGACACAGCACTGCTTCCCTTCAGTGCGTCCAAGGGACACAGCACTGCTTCCCTTCAGTGCGTCCAAAGGACACAGCACTGCTTCCCTTCAGTGCGTCCAAGGGAGACAGCACTTGAATAAACTCGTGATAAAACCCCAGCCAAGAGCATCACTCACCGGAGGATGCTGCCTTCCGCCTCTTCCACTCGCCCCCCCTCCATCTGAATCTGCGTCAGCCGCACCAGCATCGTCGCCACCCCTCGGGACCTCTCCCCCCTGGCAGCTTCATACAGCTCTGCCGCTCGCCTCTGCACCTCCTCCGCTTCCTCGTGCCTTTGTGCTTCCATTAGAGCATTGGCGAGGCTGCACAGGGTGGACGCCTGTAGGTAGTGCTCGCCACCTGCAACAGCACAGGGAGATATTGAGGGGAGTGATGGCATTCAACCTCATACAGCTTCTGCATCTCCTCCGCCTCCTCGTGCCTCTGCGCTTCCATTAGAGCATTGGCGAGGCTGCACAGGGTGGATGCTTGCAGGTAGTGCTCTCCTCCTGGCAGCATGGGAGAGTGAGGGGAGCGCAAAGAAAACATAGTGTGGGGGGAGTGCAACGACAGTCTATGCCGCTCGCCTCTGCACCTCCTCCGCCTCCTCATGCCTCTGCGCTTCCATTAACGCATTCGTGAGACTGCACAGGGTGGACGCCTGTAGGTAGTGCTCGCCACCTGCAACAGCACAGGGAGATATTGAGGGGAGTGATGGCATTCAACCTCATACAGCTTCTGCATCTCCTCTGCTTCCTTCCTCGTGCCTCTGTGCTTCCATTAATGCATTGGCGAGGCTACACAGGGTGGAGGCCTGCAGGTAGTGCGCGCCACCTGGCAGAGTGAAGGGTGGGGAAAGAGCGGAAGTGACAGTCAATTTCGTTCACCTCGGCTGCTCGCCTCTGCACTGCACCGCCTCTGCCTCCTCGTGCCTACAGTGAACGACTGTAGGGAGGCAGAGGCGGTGCAGAGGCGGTGCAGATGCGGTGCAGAGGCGGTAGTCGTGTTTTGAGAGTCGACTCAAAACACGGTAGTGCTCCCCCTCTGGAAAAACAGGAAGGTGAGGGAGGTTAAAGATTCGGCTAGTGCGCACGCCCCTGCCAAATATAATGAGAGCTCTCAGAAGTGACACCACCCGCGCACGCATTACCTATCGGACCTGCCTGCCAGCCCTGCCATAACCACACCTGCCAGTTCTCTCTGCACGTTGACGGCTCGTCTGTACATCTTGATCGACTCATCCCACATCTCCATGCCATAATACATGTCCCCCGCGTTCTCCAGCAGATCATCCAGTAGCGGCTCGGAGGGGTGAGAGGCCACTAGGGCGAGCGCCTGGAGAGAAGGTAGGGAGAGGAGGCTGGAAGGATAAGCACATGCCTATACCATCCCACATGTCCATGTCGTGATACATGTCCCCCACGTTCTCTAGCAGGTCGTCTAGGAGAGGCTCTGAGGGATGAGAGGCTACTAGAGCGAGAGCCCGGAGAGAGAGGGGAGCGGAGGGGATGGGAGGAAGAGAGGAGTGGCATAAGGAGAAAGAAAAGCACATCTCCATGCCGTAATACATGTCGCCCGCGTTCTCTAGCAAGTCGTCTAGCAGAGGTTTGGAGGGGTGAGAGGCCACGAGTGCGAGAGTGTGGTGGGGGGGGAGTTAGTGGAGGCGAAGGAAAGAAAGGCACATCTGCATGCCGTAACACATGTCCTCAAGGGAAGATAGGGGCGGGGGGGAGGGGGGAGGGGGAGGGGGGAGGGGGAGGGGGAGGGGGAGGGGGAGGGGGAGGGGGAGCAGGGAAGGGGGGGGGGGGAGCAGGGAAGGGGAGGGTGAGGGGGAGGGGGATGGGGAGGGGGAGATGAATGGAGGTAGAAAAGTACATGTCCATGCCGTAATACATGTCGCCCGTGTTCTCTAGCAGGTCGACTAGCAGAGGCTCGGAGGGGTGAGAGGCCAGTAGGGCGAGAGCCTGGGGAGAGAGGGGAGGAAGGGCGACCAGTGGCAGAAGGAGAAAGAAGAGTTACATGTCCATGCCATAATGCATGTCCCCGGCGTTCTCTAGCAGATCGTCTAGCAGAGGCTCGGAGGGGTGAGAGGCCACGAGAGCGAGAGCCTGGTGGGATAGAAGAGAAGAAGGGGGAGGGAGGGGATGGGAGGATGAGACGAATGGCATAAGGAGAAAGGACAAGCACTGAACACCTCACGCCTTACCCAATCCATCAATCCTCTCCCCCTAAAACGAGCCGTGTTTTGAGTCGACTAAAAAACGGGGATGGGAGGGACTCCCGTTGGCTTCCTGCACCATCTCCAGCAGCAGCATCTGCAACCCACAGTAATCTTCCAACCTTCACCCCATGCCATGCGCATCCATCCCCCCTACAGCCTCACCTAATCCATCAATTGCCTCCCCTTGCCCTCCTGCCCCATCCCCAGAAGCACCTGGTACCCGCACTGCACTAACCTCCCAACCTTCACCCCATGCCATGCGCATCCCTCCCCCTGACAGCCTCACCTGGTCCATCAGCTGTCTCCCCTGGCCCTCCTGCCCCATCCCCAGCAGCAGCGGCAACCTACACTGAACCTCCAGCCTCGAGCCACTGTGGATGCACCACACCACTCATTGCGACCCACAGTATTCCCACGTGTAGCGAGGGTGTTTTTGAGACAGCCTCGAGCCACTGTGGATGCACCACACCACTCATTGCAACCCACAGTATTCCCACGTGTAGCGAGGGTGTTTTTGAGACAGCCTCGAGCCACTGTGGATGCACCACACCACTCATTGCGACCCACAGTATTCCCACGTGTAGCGAGGGTGTTTTTGAGACAGCCTCGAGCCACTGTGGATGCACCACACCACTCATTGCAACCCATAGTATTCCTTCTCCCTTACTTACACGGTCCATCAGCTGTCTCCCCTTGGCCTCCTTCCCCATCCTCAGCAGCAGCTGTGATACGACCTACACTAAACCCTGGCGTACAAATCCTATCCCCTCACCTGTCACCTGTCACCCGTCACCTGGTCCATCAGCTGTCTCCCCTTGGCCTCCTCCCCCATCCACAGCATTCGCTGCACCCCTCACCCCTCATGTCTCATCCCTCGCACCTCAGAATGCACCCATCGCACCCCATAACGCCAACATCGCACCTCACAACACACCCATCACACCTCATCCTTCATCCCTCACCTGATCCATTTGCTGTCTCCCCTTGGCCTCCTCCCCCATCCCCAGCAGCAGCTGTGACAGCGCCAGCAGCACTGCTGATTGTTCCACACCCGCCTCCCCTGCCACCACCTGCCAACAGGACGAGAAGAGGGCGGGGCAGGAGGGGAAGGTGGAAATAACTGTGCTTCATAAACAGTGGGAGACTAAAAAATCACCTCACTGTGCTTCAGTTCAGTGAGGCGCCTAAAAAATCGTTTCAGAAACAGGAGACTTTGAACAGGAAGGAGCGCCATCAGCACTGCTGCCTGCTCCACACCCTTCTCTCCTGCTGTCTGGTCCTCCTCTCCTCATCTCCCTTTCCTCACCTGCCCCATCACTTCTGCCTCATTAGCCGCCACCAGAGCCATCGCCCCCTCCTCATCGCCCTCCTGAAACAGCTGCACGGCGTTGCTGAACATCTCCGCGAGTTCTCGTTTCAGTTCCGCCCGCTCTGCTGCTACCTCGTGCCACTGCGGCAGGTACGCTGGCTGGCTGGAGGAGGGGTTGGGTTGGGTAGGGGAAGAGGAGACGACAGGACAGGGTAAGGGGACAAGGGCTGGTGAGACTCCTGCTTCCCTCCCCCCTCCTGAAACAGCTGCACGGCGTTGCTGAACATCTCCGCAAGCTCCCTCTTGAGCTCTGCACGGTCTGCTGCAACCTCGCGCCACTGGGGCAGTTACGCTGGCTGGCTGGAGGGGGTTCGTCGGAGAAGGGGGGGGGCGACAGGACAGGGTAAGAGGACAGAGGCTGGTGAGACTCCTACTTCCCTCCCCCCTCCTGCAACAGCCGCACGGCGTTGCCGAGCATCTCCGCAGGTTCCCTCTTCAGCTCTGCCCGGTCGGCTGCTACCTCATGCCACTGGGGCAGGTAGGCTGGCTGGCTGGAGAAGGGTTTGAAAGGGAGGGGGGGGTAGAGGCGAGGACAGAGTAAGCAGACAAGCGCGTTGCTGCCGAGCATCTCCGCAAGCTCTTTCTTCAGCTCCGCCCGGTCGGCTGCCACCTCGTGCCGCTGCGGCAGGTAGGCCGGCTGGCTGGAGAAGGGTTTGAAAGGGAGGGGGTGTCGCACTGTCCTCTCCCCTTCGGCGGCTCACTCTCTTCTCCTCAGCCTTAGTACCCTGCTGACGCTCCAGGTCTATCTCCCATCCTCTTGTCCTTCCTCCGTTGGTACGTAATCAGTGGTTGCACCATACTCTCCGGAGGGGGGGGTAGAGGCGAGGACAGAGTAAGCAGACAAGCGCGTTGCTGCCGAGCATGTCCGCAAGCTCTTTCTTCAGCTCCGCCCGGTCGGCTGCCACCTCGTGCCGCTGCGGCAGGTAGGCCGGCTGGCTGGAGAAGGGTTTGAAAGGGAGGGGGGGGGTAGAGGCGAGCACAGAGTAAGCAGACAAGCGCGTTGCTGCCGAGCATCTCCGCAAGCTCTTTCTTCAGCTCCGCCCGGTCGGCTGCCACCTCGTGCCGCTGCGGCAGGTTGGCCGGCTGGCAGGGAGGAAGAGAGAGGGAGAGGAGGGATGGAGAGAAGGGGGGGAGGGAAGGAAGGGAGGGTGGATGTTGGGATTGGGAGGGCAGCAGGAGAGTGAGGACAGGAGGCGATAATGGTGAAAGTCCAACTCCAGTTAAGTCACTCCTAAACCCCACCAACTCTTAAACCCCACCAACTCCTGAACCCCACCAACTCACCGTTCAAAATCGACTCCCTCACCTCACCTTCCATCCAAACCCCACTCACTCATCATCATCGTCGTCGTCTTGCTCCCCTCCTCCCTCCTCCTCTCCCCTCCTCCGTTTAACCTCCTCCCCTGCCCTCCTGATCGCCTCCCCCTTAACTCCCCCCATCCCATCCCAGTCCGCCGCCCCTTCCTGCTCCAAAGCCTTCAACGTCTCTGCCGCAGCTTCGGCCGAGCCTGCCATCGCAGCCATGGCGTTCCGAGCCTCCACGGCTCTCTGCGCCGCCAGCTGGCGCGCTCCCATTGGAGCGCCGGGCTGCTGGGAAGCTTCCTGCAGCTCTTGGGCCTCTCTCAGCAATCCGAGAATGGCACCTGTCTGCTGCTCTATCTGCGCCACGTCAGCAGATATGGAACTCCTGAAATCGAGCCGGGATTTGGGTTAGAGAGCACGGGGATGAGGGAGAGGGGGAGGTTTGGGGAGGAAAGGGGTCACCACCTTGAAAACTCCCACCACTTACATAAGCACCACCACTACCACAGCTCGCAGAAGTCAATGAAGCTCTTTCTGCAGCCCGAGCTCTTACGTAAGTCCCACTAACCACTGAAGTAACTTCTGCCACTCACTTAAGCTTCAGTACTTCCTGCAGCCCAAGCTCCGGAGTGAGTGACGTGGCAGTGCGGTCCAGCTCAGCTAGCGTGGCCGCCACCGACCGCTGCAGCTCCGCCAGGTCATTCTCCATGTCAGCAATGGCCTCCCCTGCCAAGTCCACGTCAGCACCTTCATCATCCGCCTCTTCACTCCCCTCCCCCGATTTGCTGATGCCTTCTCTCGATACCCTAGACGATGCGGCTTCAATTTCCTTAACCAGCTCTTTCATTCCTCTTTCTAAACCCTCTAAACCCGCATTCTCTAAACCCCCTTCACCCAAAACCCCTCTTAAACCCTTGCGAGAATCCTCTGATTCGGCCGACTCAGCAGCAGCAGTTTCCAGAATCATCTGATCAAACTTGGCAGATAACGATTCCAGCGAGGCAACTGCTGACATGGCACTTTCGAACATCCTCTCCGCCTCCTGCACCTCCTTCAGATCCATGTTCAGCTCACGAGCCAGCGCCTCTAGGTCCATGTCAGCATCCCCTGCCACGTCAGCACTCCTAGCCACGTCAGCATCTCGGGAACGGGGACCCGTTTCTCCCTCTTTCCCGGCCTCCACGATTTCTGGATCCACTGCCTTGGGTTTCTCCGCTTCTTTCCTCCTGCAGATTCCACGAAAGTGAAGTTTAACAAGAATCTGGTCTCAACCAAAAATCATGAGCTACAAGACCTGTAACAAGAGAGGATCCGCTTGTGACTTATTGTGAATTTTTATACGAAAGTTGAGCCGGCCACGTACCCTTCGGTTGAGTCACCCGCGTCTGTGTCACCCGCGCCAGCAGCAGATCCGGTGCTTGCCGAAGGAACAAGGAACCTTCGCCGCCAACTATGGCTCGTGATTGACGCGATGCAGGTGACGGGCGGGACAGAGGTAGTAGCAGGCGCAATCGGCGCAACCGCAAGCCTTTGCGCGGCACTATCGTTCAATCTATCGATTCTTCGCGCTCCTGTCCGGTAAATGCGCGCCCAGTGACGGGCGGACGGCGGGAGCGCGCTCTGGGTGGCTAAAACGCGGCCTGCGAGCGAAACGCGGCGCGCGCCTCCTGAAGAGTATCGCGCCGCGAGACAGCTCGATGGCGCTCGCGCTGAGCATGCTATGATAGAGGCGGTCGCCATCGCGCTGCGCTAACGTGCAGAGTAATGTACTGGGAACGCGCTTTACACGCCTGTCGGAGGAAATGAAAAGTTCGTTCGTGGATATCGCCAAAAGCCTCGCCCAAACAAATGCCCTCTATCGCTCGTGTGTAATTTCTTCCAACTCGAGAACCTCCTCGCCGATCTCAACCGGAAACTGTAAGGAGTAAAACACGACTTGAACTGGATAAGGCTGTAACTTGTACGAACAAGGTTACCTGATTCTGACCAGTAAGGGATTCCCGACGTGCTACCAATGATGAACTGGTTCTTCGCAACAAAATACACGGGCTTCGGGCCAGGGATGTGCGAACACAGAACATAAGTTGCTGCTTCGTCAGCCTGACCTGAAAGATCACAACACTGCGAGTTCAAGGCTCCATTTTGACTCGCTACTCTTGCCACTGATGCTGACGAGGCGACTGCCTATTGGCAGTGCTGCTCAAAATCTACCACTGGTGTGAGAAGGTCAAGCTGTCCTCATGCATCAATATTTAGTTTTGTGAGGATGTGCTATATTTACCGAAGGACGTATTTCGAACCTCAGGTCTCTGTACCGAGTTTCAGATGGTGTGCGTTTCTGAACGGTTAGACGCGATACACCGCTGTCCTCGTGCTTCTTCCAAAACCCTACGTGTTTTCAGCAATAGCCTGTTTAGGGCGATAGAAGTTTTTGAACTGCGTACGGTAGAAAAGGTTGGAAAGTGTTTTATTTACCAACTAGAAGATTTGGGTAGAGTTGAGAGGGTCATAACTGGTACTCTCTTTAGATCACTGCCAGATCAGTGTTGGTTCTGTTGGTGCTCTGTTGATAAGAGCGACTGCTCTGTACAACGGCCACAAGCTGAAGCCTTGCTTGATGAATGTTTGCTAGCATTGATCAACTAACCCTTAGTCGCTGGGGTCCAATCCTATCCTCGGATCTTCGCACGGTGTTACGCGGTAGTTTAGACCCGTTTTATCTTCTGTCTAAGAGCTTTCGTTCAGGCAAGGTAGAGAAGACATGGTAAATCAGGAGCAGCTCGACTCGCATATTGCACAGCTCCACGAATGTAAACCTCTCACCGAGGCAGAGGTGCGTCGTCCGCCTACTGCGTTCCGCGTACTTCGACCTATTTTATTTCAGCTTCATAAGTTCCCGATATTGAGTGAGCGTTGGCCAGCGTCATCCGATTTTTTGCTTTCGGACCGCACGATCTCAAATGTTGACACGTTTGAGTTCAGTTAATTAATCAGCTCAGTATTTACCGCCGTTCCGACGTTAATCTTCTATCTTCCTTGTGCACATTTGTATCGAGGTATCATCATAACACGGCAATGTCGGCTCGTTTTCCTGCATTAGGGTTTCAAACTTGGGCAGCATTGTCCGTTTGTAATCTCCTGCAGGTGAAGGCCCTCTGCGAGAAAGCCAGGGAGATTTTGGTGGAAGAGAGCAATGTACAAGTAAGCTTTCTATGTTAATCCCTGCAATGTCTAAGGTTTCCATCCTAGCAATGCTCCAGTGAGTCTTTCAGGCTGATCCTAGCGGTTTTCGCGTTCGCTTTTTCAGATTGATCGTCGCAATGTTCCAAAAGCTTTCTAGACCAGACAAATGTGTGGCAGCAGGCACATGTTATTGACGTACCGAGCCCTCTGAAACTACGGACTGAAGTAGCCTTTTGTGCTGATCCCTCGGCATCTCTCGAAGCCTACGACGCCTGTCGCGACTACTCTAATGTCCTCTTTCCGCCAAATCGCTTGAGTGGAACAATGAAATTGGTTACATTGTGTCGCTGACAAAGTTAACTGCTTCATCGCACGCTGTGCACTCAGAGCTGGTTAAGTTAACCAACAAATCCCGACTTTGACTTGTTTCTGCCTTCACCTTTTTACCGCTCTTTATCTAGTCCATGGGGTCGCAACTTGTCGCTACCTATTGAAAACTGTCGCGAGTTTACTCAAGCAGCACATTGATGTTTCCCATGCCATCTAGTTCTTGCTTTTCAGTCGTACATTGATCAACTGTGGGTGTTGGCGGCGTAACATAGCTTTTTTTCCGACTGCTTCCATCTACTCATAATTTCCCGTCTCATTCCAGCCTGTCCGGTGCCCAGTGACCATATGTGGCGACATTCACGGGCAATTTCACGACCTCTCGGAGCTATTCCGCATTGGCGGAAAGGTATGCTGTTGCTGGGTTGAGTTTCCGAATAGCACTCACTCGGGTCTTGGGGTTCGAATGGCTTATTCTGTGCGATTTAAACAGCATACGTCGTGCGAGTTAGCTAGTGTAACATTCTTCATGTGGGAGTGTGTACAGAACCTAGTGTTTAGCTGATTTCTACGTCCGTCGTTTTCCCGGCATCCCATCTCTTCCCATGCCTTCTTCTGTCGCTCCGCGTGTCTGCAGTCACCAGACACCAACTACCTCTTCATGGGTGACTATGTCGATAGAGGCTACTACTCCGTCGAGACAGTTACTGTAAGCTTCCCCTCCTGAGGCCCTTCTTTTGCGTCAACATCTCAATTGCTAGCGAGTTTTGTTGTAAGCTGTGTACTTCCCTTGCCACCGAAGCCACATGTATCCGGGAGTTGTTTTCTCTTGTGTATTCTGTATTTAGCCAGTCTAAGCTTCTCGTTACTCCTGCTCTCGCTCACTCTCAGTCTTCTCTCTCTGCTGTGTCTCCACCTGCGTAATCCGCGCATCCCGCCCGCAGCTGCTGGTGTCGTTGAAGGTGCGCCACCCTGACCGCATCACCATTCTCCGAGGGAACCACGAGAGTCGCCAGGTGCGTGCTCTCTCACTTGCTGCGGCTTGAATCCAGGTGTTTTTTGGGCGACTCAAAACACACAAGTGCGCCACCCTGACCGCATCACCATTCTCCGAGGGAACCACGAGAGTCGCCAGGTGCGTGCTCTCTCACTTGCTGCGGCTTGAATCCAGGTGTGTTTTGGGCGACTCAAAACACACAAGTGCGCCACCCTGACCGCATCACCATTCTCCGAGGGAACCACGAGAGTCGCCAGGTGCGTGCTCTCTCACTTGCTGCGGCTTGAATCCAGGTGTGTTTCGGGCGACCCAAAACACACAAGTGCGCCACCCTGACCGCATCACCATTCTCCGAGGGAACCACGAGAGTCGCCAGGTGCGTGCTCTCTCACTTGCTGCGGCTTGAATCCAGGTGTGTTTTGGGCGACTCAAAACACACAAGTGCGCCACCCTGACCGCATCACCATTCTCCGAGGGAACCACGAGAGTCGCCAGGTGCGTGCTCTCTCACTTGCTGCGGCTTGAATCCAGGTGTGTTTCGGGCGACCCAAAACACACAAGTGCGCCACCCTGACCGCATCACCATTCTCCGAGGGAACCACGAGAGTCGCCAGGTGCGTGCTCTCTCACTTGCTGCGGCTTGAATCCAGGTGTGTTTCGGGCGACCCAAAACACACAAGTGCGCCACCCTGACCGCATCACCATTCTCCGAGGGAACCACGAGAGTCGCCAGGTGCGTGCTCTCTCACTTGCTGCGGCTTGAATCCAGGTGTGTTTTGGGCGACTCAAAACACACAAGTGCGCCACCCTGACCGCATCACCATTCTCCGAGGGAACCACGAGAGTCGCCAGGTGCGTGCTCTCTCACTTGCTGCGGCTTGAATCCAGGTGTGTTTTGGGCGACCCAAAACACACAAGTGCGCCACCCTGACCGCATCACCATTCTCCGAGGGAACCACGAGAGTCGCCAGGTGCGTGCTCTCTCACTTGCTGCGGCTTGAATCCAGGTGTGTTTCGGGCGACCCAAAACACACAAGTGCGCCACCCTGACCGCATCACCATTCTCCGAGGGAACCACGAGAGTCGCCAGGTGCGTGCTCTCTCTCTTGCTGCCGTCCGAACTCCATTTGCTTTTCTGCAGGCGCGCTCTGCGTGCAGTGATAGTCAGAAAGTTGCTCCCCCGCTCCCCACCTCCCCCACCCCCCCCCCCCCCCCCCCCCCAGGTAGTCATGCATGTTAGGTCATGCTTCTCTCGCCCCTTCCCTCCCCCACTCCCTCCCTCGTTTCTTCCCTCTCTTCCTCATTTCTGTCCTCTCACCCTCGTTGATTCCCTCCCTCCCTCCCTCCCTCCCTCCCTCCCACCCTCACTCCCTTCGTCCCTCCCTCGCTTCTCCCTCCCTCCCTCCCTCCCTCCCTCCCTCCCTCCCTCCCTCCCTCCCTCCCACCCTCACTCCCTTCGTCCCTCCCTCGCTCCTCCCTCCCTCCCTCCCTCCCTCCCTCCCTCCCTCCCTCCCTCCCTCCCTCCCTCCCTCCCTCCCTCCCTCCCTCCCTCCCTCCCTCCCTCCCACCCTCACTCCCTTCGTCCCTCCCTCGCTCCTCCCTCCCTCCCTCCCTCCCTCCCTCCCTCCCTCCCTCCCTCCCTCCCTCCCTCCCTCCCTCCCTCCCTCCCTCCCTCCCTCCCTCCCACCCTCACTCCCTTCGTCCCTCCCTCGCTCCTCCCTCCCTCCCTCCCTCCCTCCCTCCCTCCCTCCCTCCCTCCCTCCCTCCCTCCCTCTCTCCCACCCTCCCCTTCCTCCGTCTCTTCCTCCCTCTCTCCCTCCATCTCCCTCTCTCATTCCCTTCCCCTGTTTGCAGATCACGCAAGTCTACGGCTTCTATGACGAATGCCTTCGCAAGTGAGTGCTAGAATGAGCAGAGCTCGCTATGGTCCTTACTTCTCGCAAGGAGTGTGAAAACTCTGCGCAGCGAGAGAATAGTGAGGGGGGGATGGTTCACGTTGCACGCACTGAAGATAATCAGTCACAGATCAGTCACAGATTCCATTGTATGTCACTCCAGCCTACGGTTTCTGTGATGAGTGGAATTTGTGTTCTCCCATTCAGATCCTCACAGTGGGACCTTGCACACTGTATTGTCGTTCTACTAACCATCAACACTGTTCTCACTCACCCCATGCCACGCCATGCCATGCCAAACCATGCCACGCCGTGCAGGTACGGCAGTGCGAGTGTGTGGAAGATGCTCACAGACCTCTTCGACTACTTCCCTGTCACCCGCCGTGGTACGTAATCCGCTCCCTCTTTCCATCCCTCCCTCCCTTCCCCTTCTCCCCTCCCCTCCCCTACCCTCCCCTTCCCTCCCCTCCCCTCCCCTCCCCACCCCTCCCCTCCCCTCCCCTCCCCTCCCCTCCCCTCCCCTCCCCTCCCCTCCCCCAACCTCCACCCCCTCCCCCACCCCCACCCTCACCCCCTTCCTCGCACAACGCTCTCACTGCTGTGGTGCTTTCTGTGTTATTCTCACCCTTCTCGTTACCTTCTGACCGTCCTGCCATGCGCCCCTTGCTCATCGTCCCTACATTCACTGCTGCTGGAGTTGCATATCTTTTGCTTGCATGGTCTTATAGCCCAACCAACCACAGACTCGATTGCTCTTCAGCCTCCTCCTCTGTCCGCTTCTCCCTCCTCAGATCCCTCCTCCCCTCAACCCTCTTCTGCTTCCTCTCCCCCAACTGCTCCGTCCTTCCTCCCCTCTCTGCCCCCCTCCTCCCCTCAGGTCGAGTCGGAGATCTTCTGCCTGCATGGGGGCCTCCCTTCATAGACTCCTCATCAGCCTCCTCTTCTCCCTCCTCTCCCCACCTCACCTCAGGTCGAGTCGGAGATTTTCTGTCTGCACGGGGGCTTGTCGCCCTCAATAGACTCGCTGAACCACGTCTGGCAGCTCGATCGAATTCAGGAGGTGCCTCACGAGGGGAGGGACCCATGTGCCACCTCACCTCCTCGCCTTCTCATCACCCTGCCCTGCTCTCCCTCCCTCCACTGCTCCTTCCTCTGCTCCCTCCCCTTCCCCCGTCCCTGCTCCCCTGCTCCCTCCCCCCACCCCCCCCATTCACCCCCGACCTCAGGTCGAATCAGAGATCTTCTGTCTGCACGGGGGCCTGTCCCCCTCAATAGACTCACTGGACCACGTGAGGCAGCTCGACCGCATTCAGGAGGTGCCTCACGAGGGGCCCATGTGCGACCTGCTCTGGTCCGACCCCGACGACCGCTGCGGCTGGGGCATCTCACCCCGTGGTGCTGGCTACACGTTCGGCCAGGTGAGCAGGCTGCTGGGTGCAGGTTCGGGCAGGCAGGTGAGTTGTGCGTTGCTGAAGCTGGTAGCGAGAACTGGTCGCAAGCCAGAACCGCAAGTGTCATGAATCCTTCTCGTCACTCTCCCATAACAATCCCCTCCGCCCACTCCCCTCCACCCACTCTGCTCCACCTACTACTCTCCACCTATTCCCCTGCACAGGACATATCAGAGCAGTTCAATCACAACAACGGGCTGAAGCTGGTGGCGAGAGCACATCAACTAGTGATGGAGGGATATAACTGGGCGCACGTGAGTCTCTCTCTTAGCAAGCCATTTAGAGTGACGCCTCTTTACTCCAAGTTTTAACCAATTGCTCATCAATGCATGATGGGGGGATGTAGTTCCTGCTGTGTCCTTCCAGAGTTCTTTCTTTGGTGGCTCTGCAAGAGTCTAATTCCCTAAATCCCCCTTCTACACGCCTTCTCTTCTCCCCTTCGCCGTTCCTCTCCTCCTCCGTCTTTCTGTGTCATTCTGAAGTGGAGAAAGACGCACGCGTCCTGCGTCTGGACGCGTCCAGACGCAGAGACGCAGGACGCACCTCGTTTTTTTTCGGGCTGACCGGATTTTTTTTTTTTTGCCTCAGCGCGAAATTGACTTCAACGATTTCGACGCGACTTTCAATTTCGCGTCATGTCGACCCCCCCTAACCCATTTCGACCATCAAAAACACCCTAGAGGGTTTACCAAGACAATTCTCCTTCGTAAACCCTAAACCCTGGAAATGTAAAGGGGACGATTTTGCCTCAAATGTGTGCATCGTCGTTCCTCCCCCCCCCCCCCCCCCCCCCCCCCCCTTCCCATACCCTATAACATCATTTTCGGCTGCCCGGGGTTTTTTTTCGCCCTGCCCGGGCATGCGTCTTTTCATGCGTCCTAAAGGCCCTCCTCTAGCGTCCTGCGTCTTTCTCCACTTAGTTCTGAACCTCCTTCCTCACATACTTCCTGCCGCACATCCTCCCTGCCCTACATATTGTAATCCCCCGTATATAGGACCCCCCCCAGTTGTAGACCCCCGGGTCTATAATACGGACCCGGGTACTCTATTCGAGTACATCTGAGTTGTACCCCCCTAAATGACTCCTAACATTATAAGACCCCCCCACATCCTAGAGAAGTGCGGATTTTACAAAAATGCTATTGAAAATGGTCATATTCCATGCAGCCCGCACGAAGCTTGAATGGGTTGTGAAGGCCGAGGCCATCAAACGGTGCCCTGCGCTGTCGTGTGAACACCAAGTGGTGTTGGTGGTCAATGGGAGGAGGCTCCCTGATAGGGTTCATGATGACGTGAGTTCGGCCCTTGTGGAGACCAATTCGAGTATTTTTGGGAGGAGCTAAAAACGGAGCAATACCAAATCACTTCTTTGAGCTCCAAAACTACATTCTTATAAATGTCAATATGAACAGACCCGGGTCTTCTAAAAAATATACCATTTAATTATACCCCCCAGCCTTTTTAGGGGTGATTATCATAAGACCCTAGGGTCTTATGTACGGGGGATTACAGTACTTCTTCCCTCACACACTCCTCCCTCACATGCTCCTGCCGCACACACTCCCTTCCACTCAATCCTCGCCCTCTTACATTTGCTTCCTTCTGCATTCTCTTCCTCACACCTTCCCTTCCCAAAATAATCCCTCCCTCACATGTGCCTTCACCAGGAGCAAAAAGTGGTCACTATTTTCAGTGCACCAAACTACTGCTATCGATGCGGTGAGCCTATGCATCTATCACTATAAGCGATACACACATTTTAGCGTGCGTGTTTTGGGCAAATGATGGTAAATACTTGTCATAAGCAAGCACACATGAAAGGAAAGCCCTCAACAAACTGGAGGCAAGTTATATAAGCTGTGTGGCCCAGCTCACTCGATCAAGCGTTTGCCTCATCTCACTCAAATGTGCAACCCCGCTATAAGCTGTGGCTCATTAATTTCTTCCCCTCGCTTGGTTGTTGTTGCTGCAATTAGTGTGGTCACCTGAGCATGCCCTACCCACACACATGTCTCCTGCCCAACCCATCCATCCACACCCCACTGTACCACACTGTACTGCACTTTACCACAGGCAACATGGCGGCTATTCTGGAGGTGGATGATGCCATGGGGCACACCTTCATTCAGGTATGGCCTCTCCTGCACCACACCCCGACACCACACAGCACCGCACCACACTTTTCCGCACCCCCCCCCCCCCCCCTTTTTTTTTTTTTTTTTTTTTTGGTGAACTTCCGCTGTATATTTGAGTGATGCTGCTGTTTTACTCAACCTGCCTTGCACCTGTTGCCCTGCTTCTGCAGTTTGAACCGGCACCAAGAAGAGGAGAGCCTGATATCAGCAGGAGAACACCCGACTACTTCCTTTAAACAAACCAAATCAGCCTCGTATCAAAGTTAAATTGATTGTTTGGTTTGCAACAATACCGGTACAGCAGCCACCAGACACCAGACTGGTTATCGTATTAGTTTAGATGGATACAGTCCCGTTGCCTACGCCTGCTATTACCATATTGTAAGTGGCTCCAACCATCAGCAGGTTGTATTGTTCCTGTGGTTGTATCACTTGTTCTGGGCTAGCTATCGTTCGCTATCAACCCAGTTCTGATATTCACAACAAGCAAGGCTTATGACTTGCACACCACATTTGATTACTACTGACCTGTAACCTACTTGGTACCACAATGTGGTGGGACATAGCGGCTGCTTTATTTATGATACCGTATCACCCCGGATATGCGCGCAGGCCTATTAAAAGCGCATGCGCTTATATCTGGAGCAATGTGCTTATGGCCGATCCTTATTTATAAGCGCACCCCCTGTAAAATTTATAATTTTTAAACACATAGGTGTTTTTCAAAATTGCGTATTGTGAAAGTGAAGCTGCTTGTACCGAATATTTGGCATCGTCGAAGCGCGCTAAACGCCCTTATCCAAGTACAAAAACCGTGAGTTGGAGCTCATTCCTATCAGAATATTATGCTCTAGCCTGTAGTGGGGTGCTCCATAGCGAGTACAACCCTTCTAGAGTTTGCTATTTGTATCCTCATTCTTGTTAGTTCAACCCTCTTCTTTCTTCTAACTTTCACATGCTATCAGAGCAGGTCGATCCTCTTGGATCGATCCTGTGGGTGGGCTTACCACCTCCTAGCTTTCGCTGCAACTCCTACCACTACACTCTGAGCCGCACGCCCCGTGGCGTGCGGCACTTTTTATTCCCGCCGTGCGCCCCGAGGCGCGCGGCGGGCTTCTGCCCCGTCGTTCGCCGCGTCGCCCTCTGGAGGCGCCGCGACGGGCGATGGGGGGGCCCGTCGCGGCGCACCGAGGGCACGTACACGCCGCCCGTCCCGGCCCCGCGCCGCTGCCCCGGCCCGTCGACGCCCGTGCGCCGCCCGTCCCGGCCCCACGCCGCCCGTGCGCCGCTCGTCCCGGCCCCGCGCCGCTGCCCCGGCCCGTTGACGCCCGTGCGCCGCCCGTCCCGGCCCCACGCCGCCCGTGCGCCGCCCGTCCCGGCCCCACGCCGCTGTCCCGGCCCGTCGCCGCTCGTCCCGGCCCCGCGCCGCTGCCCCGGCCCGTCGACGCCCGTGCGCCGTCCGTCCCGGCCCCACGCCGCTGTCCCGGCCCGTCGCCGCCCGTGCGCCGCTCGTCCCGGCCCCGCGCAGCTGCCCCGACCCTTCGCCGGCACGTGCCCCCCCCCCCCCCCCCCCCTCCTCTTTTCCCGTCGCCCGTCGCGTGTCGCCCGTCGACGGGAGGGGCGACGTGGGGGTGGGGGCGAGCGTCGCCCCTTCTGCCGCCTACTTTGGCGCCCAGGGAGGCCGCGCGTCGCCCCCCCGCCCCCCTCCCCCCCGTAACCTCCCTACCCGCCATCCCGCCCTGCCCTGTGTTCGGGTTTGGGGGTGGCGAGTGGGGGGTGGCGGGTGTGTGGTCTCCCCTGCTCCTCCTCCTCCTCTGTCTCCCACTGCTGCAGCTGCCGCTGAGGGGGGTGGGTGTGTGGGAGTCGACGGAGTTGTGCTAGGGGGTGGGGTGTGAGTGACCCTAGGGGTGCAGTAGGGGGTGTGTGTCAGGGGGGGTGAGACTGTTTGGGAAGCTGAACGGAGGTTGCCATCGTGTCGCCAGCAGCACATGTAGTCCGGGGAGTTGCTCCGGTAGCCCAGTCGTAGCCACCTGTGTCAGTCGCCCGTGGGTCCGTTGCTCGTCTGCCGCTACTTTAGCCGCGGGGCCAGTTACTCCAGTAGTCCGGAGAGTTGCTCCGGTAGCCACTGTGCCAGTGTGCCTCCTGTTGCCCGTGTGTCTGCAGCTTCAGCCGTCGCCTCCTATCTCCTCTCCTCTCACTCTTGCCTCCTCCTCCTCACTTGCCCTCTGCGATAGCCTCTAGCTTTGCTCATAATTGTTAACTTTAAACTGTTGCTTCTTGTACTTGTGCTCAGAATGTGTGGTGACATTGTGATCCACCCTGAGCTTGTACTGCTTTGCTTGCTCTGCTGATTACACCCCACTTTGGCTATGGGGGTGTGTCAGAATATTATGCTCTAGCCTGTAGTGGGGTGCTCCATAGCGAGTACAACCCTTCTAGGGTTTGCTATTTGTATCCCCATTCTTGCTAGTTCAACCCTCTTCTTTCTTCTAACTTTCACAATTCCCTCCACCCACGTTTCTCGTTTCCCAACGGCTCAATCAACATTTCCGTTCGAGTAGTTCTTTTTCCCCCTCCAAGCTGGCTAGAACTCGCACTCTTCCCAGAGGCGAGTCACCCTCAACACTAATGCACGACATTTTCAGCTACAATCGCTCTACTATGTGTCAGAATGTTATCGTTGTCTAGTTTGCAGTGGGACCCTCTATAGTGAGTACAACCCACATTAGGGTTTGCTATATGTACTGCCTTGCTTACTAGTGAAGCTCTCCTTTTCTGTTGCTAAACTTCTTGCTTAACTTTCGACTAGTATCAGAGCAGGTCGACCCCCCTCGGTCGATCTTGTGGGTGGGCCCCACCCGATGCTTCCGCTGCTCTACTGCCTGTAACGCGCCCCGGGCGCATGCTGTTTCCTGCGTGCCGCGCGCTCCGAGCACGCAGCGAGTTTTTCTTCCCGCCGCGCGCCCCGAGCGCGCGGCGGTTTTCTGCCCCGTCAAACCGCGCGTCGCCCCCTGCCGACCGTGGCGTCGCCCCCCGCCGCCCGTCGCGGCCCGCGCGACCTGCGCCAGGCCCGCGCGCGGCCCGTACAAGCTGCGCCAGGCCCGCGCCCGACCCGTATGGGCTGCGCCAGGCCCGCGCGCGGCGCGTACAGCCCGCGCGCGGCCCGTATGAGCTGCGCCAGGCCCGCGCGTGGCCCCCTCTCCCGTCACCCGCCGTGGCGCCCTCGGGGGGCCCGCGCCCTGCTCCTTCGTGGCGCCCAGGAGACCCCCCGCCGCCTCCCTTTCCCTCCGTGAACCGTCCCTGCTGCTCCCCGCGCTCCTGCCTGCGTTAGGGTTTGGGGGTGGCGGGCATGGGGGTGACCGGTGTGGGTAACCTGCACCTCCTCCTCCGTGTCCCACTGCTGCAGCTGCCGCTGAGGGGGGTGGGTGTGTGGTAGCCGAGGGTTTAGGGTTTAAGGGGGGTGTCGTGGGAGTGGAGCTAGGGGTGCAGCAGGGGGTGTGTGATAGGGGCGTGGGGCAGTTGGCGGAGGTTGAACGGAGGTCGCAGTCGTGTCGCCAGCAGCACCAGTAGTCTACAATCTCCGGTACAATCTCCGGTAGTCGCCAGTCGCCTGTGGGTCAGTTGCTCCAGTCAGGAGGCTACAATCTTTGCGGAGCCAGCAACTCCTGTAGTCCGGGCCTTTGCTTCGGTAGCCACTAAGCCAGCAGCTCCTGTCTGTCTGCAGCTTCAGCAGTCGCCTCCCATCTTCTCTCCCCCACAGTCTCTCCTCCTCCTCACTTGCCCTTTGTGATAGCTACTAGCTTTGCTTGCACTTATGAGCCTGCTATATGACTGCTTGCTCTGCTGATTATACCCCACTTTGACTATGGGGGTGTGTCAGAAAGTTATCATTGTCTAGTCTGCAATGGGGTACTCTATAGTGAGTACAACCCACATTAGGGTTTGCTATATGTACTGCCCTGCTTACTAGTGAAGCTCTCCTTTTCTGCTGCTAAACTTCTTGCTTAACTTTCGACACTATGGCGTCTACACCGGTACTTAACCGCGGCAATGCGTCTACACCGACTTCCGACTCCGACCGTAACGTCCGAGAATCGACGGGCGATCATCGTAACAAGCGACGGGCAGAGGAAGGATCGCCCGCCCCAACTGCAGTGGACGTGCTGTTGGGCGGGCTCGAGGTCAACAAAAACTTGAGCGCTGCCCAACAGCAGCACCCTTCGGCCCCTGTGGCACCTGAGGCACGTGTGGCGCAAGTGACGACAGTGGCGCCTGCAGCACCTGTGGCGCCACACGCGCCTGACGCGGAGCACGCGCCGGCGCCTGTGGCGGGACCGTCGCGTCAGCGCCAGAGGCGCCAAACTACGACTTCCTCTGACGCGACGACTGCAGCGTTGACCACCGCGTTGACCCCGGACCAGGTCGCTGCACTTCTGTCCCTGTTACAGCAGCAGCCCGCCAGCGTTACAGCTACGAAAATTGCACAACTGGCGGCTTCTGCATCTGCTAAAAGGAAAATGCAAAACGAGAAAAAGAAGCGCTAGGAACAACGGCAAATCGGCACGACAAGGAAGCAGCAGCCAGCATCCCACCTGCGCCAGTGGCCAACAACGACACCGACGGCTCCGACGATGACGATAGTGAGGCTCCAGTCAATACCACAAATTTTAATTCAATGGAGCATCTTCCCCCCTCCCCTCTACTACTAACACCACTTGGTCGGCGGCAACGTTCAACGACGCGAATGTGCGGGCAAAAGCGGAGATTCTGGAGGGCATGAGGGCTTACCTGAAACATGTCAAACTCATATGCTACAGTCTGTGTAGGCTGTAGTGGGGTAGCTCATATGGGGTACAACACTTTAGGGTTTGGTATTTGTACTCCTCATGCTGCTCAATGCCATCATTCTCGTTCCAATCTTCTCATGGTATCAAGCAGGTTCCCTCGTGGGAACTGTTACTAGGGCCCACCGAATAGCGAGTTTTTTTTTTTCCTGCCTGGAGCGCGCTTAGCCCCTGCCCGAGTCGCGCCCTGTGGCCCCTCTCACGGCCCCTAACGGCCCCGTCGCGCCACCCTTACCGCCCCGTTGTGCCGCCCTAGCGACCCCGTCGCGCCGCCCTCGCGGCCCCGTTGCGCCGCCCTCACGGCCCCTTAGCGGCCTCTCGCGGCCCCGTCGCGCCGCCCTCGCGGACCCCCCCCCTTTGCGGCCCCTCGCGGCCCTGTCGCGCCACCCTCG